TAAAAATTAAAAAAAATTAGGATACAGTCAATTTTTTTATCTCACTTTTCAATATCTTCATGTCCAACCCAATGCCCAATGTTTTTTTTTTTAAGTATTTATTTATGCATATAAGAACTGGGGTACAGGCCAGAAGTGTGGGGGGTGAGATGATCCACCAGAGACAGAGCAGGGAACAGAAGAGGCAGATTGACTGAAATACACTGCTGAGGGAAGCAGTGGGCGAGTCAGGAGAGGTCTGCTGCGCCATGTGGGTAGCTCCCTGGCTGGGGACTGAACTCGGGTGCTGCAGTGGCTGTGGACAGCTTCATAGGTTGTGTCTTAACCCCTTGTGCCACCAGGGAGGCCGCCCAATGGTTCTTAAGATTTACAGAAGAAAACCCATTGCAACCAACCATGGTGGAACCCATTAACCTGAAAAACTTTCGTTGAATAATGACTGTGTACTAGGTATAACTAGGGAATTATTCAAAGAAACAGAATTCTAAGCCTTTGAGACAATCAAAGTGTACAGAAACAACTATTCTCACCCCTTGGGCAACCCAGAGAAACAACAGGAGGTAAATTGATAAATTTTGTTGAAAGTAGGTCTAATCTTATTTTTCACAACCTTCCAAAACCAGCTCAAAGGTAATCTGGAACATTTTATAACCTCTCTGAATCTTGGCCTTGCAACTGAGTATCTCTGACTATTATATGGCTTATAAGAGTAGTACATGCTCCTGGGAGACTTGCATGGTTATGTTGAGTCAGGCAATGCAGACCTGGCCAATGAGCTGATGAAGATCTGGGTTATTCTCCCAGTAGAAGAGCTAGTTTAGTGATGAGCTTAAAGCTAATGTAAGCAGATACAAAGCAAACTGACCAATTTGGGGTCTCGTTTGGATGCTTTATAAAATACCCTATGTTGTATGAAATTAAATATGCTTTCCTCATAATCTATGTTTGGGAAGATGCTCAGAAAACTACCAGCCCAATAAGTTGGTTTCTATCAACTACAACACTGACATGGGTTCAAATTGCAAAAGGCAATTTTTCCATGTGATTACTTATGTCATATCCTTCTATGGACAAGGATCCTAAAAGGGACTACAGAGAGAAAATCACATGCTATGGAGATGGGTACTTATGTTTGATTCAGGGAAGAATTGTGAGGTTGACTTTCTGTAAGGATAGTAAATTCTGCAGGAGTAACTAGATACTGAAGTTCCTGATAGGGTAGAATTCTTGTAAGTTTTATGATGAGTCCCCAAATTTATGACAACTAGGTCAATCCCATGATAAATGCCACTGTGCTGGTTCTTTAATACATTCCAGAATTTCACAGTTGGAACTCAAGAACTCTTACTAGGGGGCCTCCCCTGGTGGTGCAGTGATTGAGCCCTGGGCTGTGAAGCTGCCCACAGGGTCTGCAGTGCCTGTTTGATCCCCGGCCCCCAGACCTCTCCTGCTGCGTCCGCTGCTCCCCTCAGCATTGTATTCGTCAGTCTGCCTGTTCTGTTCCCCATTCTGGCTCTGGTGAATTCTCTCACCCTCCTGCACTTCTGACTGTACCCAGTGCTTGTATAAATAAATAAATAAATAAATAAATCTTAAAAAATAAAAACAAAACTCTTACTAGGCCACAAATCTTGAGGCTATAATCAAAGCACAGAATCAAACCCTGTTGAAATGTCACCCCTAAGTATTTCTAAAGCGTCTCTCCTTTATGTACATGTTCAGATAATGCAATAGAATACAAAGTGCCCTGGAAGTCAGACATAAAATTGGCATCTGCCCCAGTATTCCATTGCTAACTAGCTGCGTAACTCTACACACTTGATATCACATCTCCAGGTCTTTGTTCAACTACAAAACAAGTGGAAGCTAGACTGATGTTTTCTCAAAGCCTAGTCTTCAGATCATTTGCTTCACATTCACCTGGAAGTGGAGTGGGGTAGGCTTGTTATGAAATACACATTTCTGGACCCCACTAGAGTTCGTGTGAACTAGTGTTTTTGGGGAATGGGGAATCTATTTTTAAAAAATCAACTTCCCAGGGCCTCCCCGGTGGCGCAGAGGTTGAGCACTGGGTTGCGAAGCTTCCCGCAGCCTCTGTGGTGCCGGTTCGATCCCTGGCTCTCCCAGGCCACTGGAGGAGGGTCCCACATGGCACGCAGACCTCTCCTGCCGCCCGCTGCTCCCCTCAACAGTGTACTTCGGTCCTTCTGCCTGCTCTGCTCCCTGCTCTGGCTCTGGTGAATTCTCTCACCCTCCTGCGCTTCTGACTGTACCCAGTGCTTGTATAAATAAATAAATAAATCTTAAAAAAAAAAAATCAACTTCCCAGGTGCTTCTTATGTTTGTAAAGTTTCCTTTTTTAATTTTTTACTGAAATATCACACACTCAGTAAAGTTGGAGAACTTTAGCATTAGAATACTGCTAAGATTCACTCAACTTTAAAAGAATTCTAAGAATCAGGCCATTTGACACATAGGCACAGTCACTAAGTAGGCAACTTTGGACTCTGCTACCCCCTTTGTAGTAAGTTTCAGGTCAGAGCATAATTCCGCATGGTGTGCAATGTTCTCTCTGTGATTTGGATAAACAATGTTTTTCAAACGCGCAGCACCTTTCAAAGGTCAGTTTACTGCCTGAGAGTGCTGTAAGCCCAATGGAAAGTCGGGTTCACATTTGATCTGGATGTTCGAATTTCATTATACTCTCCATGTACATGGGCCTAACCATAATGCTCCACAACAGAAGACTGTTGTCTGGATGAGAAAGGAGATATCTGATTATATTTCTGACTGGATTATAGAACCAAATTCTATTATAGTTGTTTAAACCCAAGCTCTTATGTCAATAAAACTCCCAGTCCTTGATCTCTCTCACAGGGGGTTTGAAATACAACACAGGTAAGTAGTATTTCACTGCCTCCCTGGTACAAAGATCACTGAGCTAACAACTCCCCTCTGAATCAATGGGTAAAGTAATAGATTAAGTAATGGATTTAAAAGAATCTTCCAGTTACTATGTGAAGAACTTGTCTCTTTTCCTAGGCAACCAGAAATTATTGGGAATTTTCTATATAGGATCGACCCTTCAAATAACTTGGCTGCCTTTAAAAATGTCCCCCTGCTTTTACACTTTTATGCAATGCCTTCATTTTTTGGATTATTTATCTTATGCCACATGAAACAGGTATATAATTTGTCTGATTTCTCACAAGTGAATAGAAATCTCCTCTTTCTGTGGCCACAGGTAAACTGTTAGCTCGTTATGAAATGGAGGGTGGGGGTAAGGGGATGGGAAGCTGATGGATGACTGATCCTTTCCAGATCTACAACATCTTACAGTCATAGAGCAGATGGCAGCATAATGCAGGGAAAGAGGATGGACTCTGAAGTTGGATAGATGCAGTTTGCAACTTTATTATTTTTTTTAAAGAGGCATGTATTTTTATTTATTTATGATTTTTTTTTATTTATTTGTTTGTTTGTTTGTTTTGTTTATACATGCACTGGGTACAGTCAGAAGCGCGGGAGGGTGAGAGAATTCACCAGAGCCAGAGCGGGGAGCAGAACAGGCAGAAGGAGCGAAGTACACTGCTGAGGGGAGCAGCGGGCTGCAGGAGAGGTCTGCGCACCATGTGGGACCCTCCTCCGATGGCCAGGGAGCAGCTGGGGATCGAACAGGCGCCATAGTGGCCGCGGGCAGCTTCGCAACCCAGTGCTCAACCGCTGTGCCATCGGGGAGGCCCGCAGTTTGCAACTTTAAATCTCAGTTTCCTTAATTTTATTAGAGGGTGATGACAAGCATTCAGGATAATAAAAGCTTTCAGCATAGGGCTTGTCATAGAAGTCATTTCAAAAAGGAGTCTTCCTGGATCCCTATGCCTTCACCATGGCTTTCAGGACATGGTTAGACCTCCTCTTACTGAGACAGTGAGAAGTAAGCCCTAGTCCTTATTCAAGTGAAGAGACAAGCTTTCGAGAAGGGAAAACCAGTAGCCCTGTGAATAACAGGTGCATGGTTTCTTCCCAGCCTGGTCACTACTGCAGCGTGAAGTTACCATTTCAGAATTTGTTGGCATGTGACAGAAGTAACCGCAGAACCAAAGGTCACTACAAGGTGCAACTGGTCTCTTAAGGGCACTACAACAGGTCCCCAAAGTCTTCTCCCTGGGGGTCAGTTGGAGGTCACCTTTTCTGTGCATTGAGAATCCAGGGAGGAGAGAGCTGGAGGTACCCTTGAAGACAACCTCATTAAAGAGGAGGAAACCAAGGAACAGAGAGGGGAAGAGCCTTTCCTATGATCAAGGCGCTGAGGTGAGAACAGTCTCTCTGGAGCCACTGGAGTTCACAGTCAAGATCCTCATTTTAATGCAGATGTCAGTACTGGTTAGGGGCTCTGACTCTGGAGGTAAATAACCCTGGTAAGTTCTTCCGCCAGCTGGGGCATAAGGCTTTACCTCTGGGACCTTAGTGATCTCAGTTATAAAGGCAACTATAGGGCCTCCCTGGTGGCGCAAGGGTTAAGACGCAACCTATGAAGCTAACTGCAGCCACTGCAGCACCAGTTCAATTCCCGGCTGGCCAGGGTGCAACCCACATAGCGCAGCAGACCTCTCCTGACTCCCTGGCTGCTCCCCTCAGCAGTGCACGTCAGTCAATCTGTTTTGTTCCTCACTCTGTCTCTGGTGAATCCTCTCACCCCCCACACATCTGGCCTGTACCCCAGCTCTTGTATGCATAAATAAATAAATCTAAAAAAAAATAAAGTCAACTATAAACCTTACCTGTTAGGATTCAAAACAACACTGCATGTGCTTAATTCCGTGTCTGGCATATATCACATCAGGTAGTTTAAATATCATTAATTAGTCTCATCACCTCTCTCCTGCTATACATCCAGGTCGGATCTGAACCTCCCTCTCCAACCCCCTCCACTACTACGTGACAGGTTCTTTAAGGCCTGGAGGAGCCCACTGCCTTGGCGCTTAGGTCCTCGAACTCACCTGGCGCGACCAGTAGCACCTTCGCACCGGAGCACTGGAAGCAGTGCAGCAGGGACTTCGTGCGAATGTTGTAGTTGAGGCACGCCATGGCACAGCCCAGCTTGACAATTCCCAGCCAGAGCCACACGTAGGCGGGCTCATTGCCCATGAAGATCGCCACACAGTCTCCTTGGCGCAGGCCGAGGAGGTCGCGCAGCGCGCGGGCCACCTGGTTGCTGCGCCGGTCCACCTGCGCATAGGTGAGCGTCTCGTCGCGGAAGAGCAGAAAAGGCTTGTGCGGGGTCTGGCGCGCCTTCTCCTGGAAGACATGCAGGAAAGTGCGCACCGGCCGCCGCTGCCCATAGCTGCGTGCTCGTCGCGCCACGCCCGCCACCCGCAGAAAGTAGCGCACGTCTTGGAAGAAGTACGGACAGCAGAAGTTCACCAGCAGCGGCACGAGCAGCAGCCCCGCCACGGCCGTGTAGATGGCGGGCAACATAATAGTGGCGGGACCCCCTGTCCCTTCGAGGGCAGAGGGCGCGCTCCGGGCGTGCAGCGCGGCGGCTGGACGGGCTCCGGGCAGAGGCGGCGGGTGAGCTGCGCGGGGGCGCACGGCGAGGTTGGGGCGACCGCTAAGTGTCTGGGCGGCCCGCACCACCCCTCTCGCGCAGGTGAAGTGAGGTGTGGGCTGTAGGGGTTCCGGGCGAGACCGGCCGGCTGAGCCCGCCCTTCCCGGGGGAGCGGCCACCTGCACCCAGGCCCGCCCCTGCGGTCCTCTCCAGGCGCTTCTGCTTCTCGCGGGTCTCGCCGAGCGCCCCGCCCCAGCCTGGAGCTCCCGGGTCAGATGTGACCGCGCACTCTTGGGGGCCGAAGCACTTCACCGCATCCAGGCCACAGTTCACTTGTCAAAATGGTGATGCTAAAACGCGCTAAGCGGATATCCAGATTAGAGGAGATAATGCAGGGGTGGGCTATGGTTACCTATTGCCACCGCTAAGACTGCCCCATAGAGGCAACTTATTGTCAATGAAGTGCCTTAAATATATGAGACAGTCTTAGTTACTAGTAGGGGCTGCCCGGTGCCACTGCCAAATCGATATCCCGTCTGCCCTTCCAAGTCCCCCGGGCTTTCTACCTGTCTCTCTTTGTTTCTCAGCTTTGCTTCCCGACCCGATCCCCCGCCCAGCCCCAGCCCAATTGCTAGGAGGTCTCCCGTGGCAAGACTGAACAAAAGCGCTAGCGATGTCATCCCTGTTTACCTCAGCCCCTGGGCGGTGGGTGGGGACTGGACCCTCTGGACTCAGCCCCTGGGCGGTGGGTGGGGACAGGACCCTCTGGACTCAGTCCCTGGGCGGTGGGGGGGACAGGACACTCTGGGCTGGCCTTCCCCTGTGCCAGCTGGCCCACCTTTGGCGTGCAGCAGCACCGCCTTTCACCACATGAAATCAAGCTCTGGCGATATTTGTTTTACTATTTTTGTTTGAGATTTGTTTTAATACTTTTCTTGTTAAGTGATCCCGGTTCCCCATATGCTGAAAATTTTTAAGCATTGCCCGTCCAATTCAACACACATTTTCTAAGTGGCCTACGGAGAATAGGACAATACAGAGGAAATGAAGGAAGTGTTATTGGCATTTCTCAAAAGTAGTGTTTTTAGTGCTGCTTCTGTGGAGTAGAAGCTGCTTGCTACTGAGGGTCTAAGTAAAGCAGTATTTTACTTTCTTCTCCTGTCTTCCCCTGATCATTCATCTTATTCTTTGGTGATAGCCACCAGTAATGAGTGCTTACTCCTGCCAAACACTCTACAGGGAGTTCCCCCATATTATAGATTTCTGGAGCTGGAAGTCATCTAAAGGTCGCACTTTCTGTTCACTTACAGGAAAGGGAAGTGAGGACAGTCAGTGAGTAATGCATGCCTTTGGGACCTAGTATGTGTTCGTCCTGGCCCTCTCTTAGCACCCATATTAAGCTGCCCTCCTATTCTCTAGATTCTATGGTCTTTTTTTACTTAGCAATTAACCTTTTTTCTCTTTCACAATCTTCCCCTCCCACCCCTTCTCTTATCCCTGAGATCTGCTCAAGCAACCCTTTTTTTTTTTTTTTTTTAATCTTTTTCCCAACCCCTTGATGGCTTATCTGGCTACTATCTGGTGACTGGTTGCATCATTTCTTTTTTTTAAAGATTTATTTATAATAGCACTGGGTACAGTCAGAAGCACGGGAGGGTAAGAGAATTCACCAGAGCCAGAGCGGGGAGTAGAGCAGGCAGAAGGACTGAAGTACACTGCTGAGGGGAGCAGCGGGCGGCAGGAGAGGTCTGCGCGCCATGTGGGACCCTTGCTGGGAGCTGGGGATCGAACTGGCACTGCAGAGGCTGTGGGCAGCTTCGCAGCCCAGGGCTCAACCGCTGTGCCACCAGGGGAGGCCCTGGTTGCATCATTTTCCTGGGAGCAGTTGGGGGCCTTTGTTATCCCCAAGGAGAAGGCAATAGTGTGAATCAAAGTAGGGGTCAGAACAGAAACCATTCTGGTGTGCACATCTTCTTTCATGTACCTCCTGCCTTGTCCTTAAACTGATGCTCTTCAGAGTATTAGATGACCATGAACACCCATTTTCTTCTCTCTTATTCTGAAGGTTTCTTTCTTTTTTTTCCTTAAAGATTTATTTATTTATACAAGAGCTGGGTTACAGGCCAGAGATGTGGGGGGTGAAAGGATTCACCAGAGACAGAATGAGGAACAGAACAGGCAGATCGACTGAAATACACTGCTGAGGGGAGCAGCGGGCAAGTCAGGAGAGGTCTGCTGTGCCATGTGTGTAGCTCCCTGGTAGGGGATCGAACTCATCATGCAGAGGCTTAGTAGGTTGCATCTTAACCCTTGTGCCACCAGGGAGGCCCCTTGTTCTTTTTAAAACAATATTTGCTTCCCCACCCCCTCAGGTGTAGTCCCCATAGAGTTTCCTTCACCGATGCACCCGTGCACCATCACCTCAGTCCCCTGTCCTCCTCCTCCCTCCCTGATCCCTCTCCCGCCTCCTCCCCTGCAGGATGTCTCTGATTTATAATTGTATGACAAGCTGTTTTGATAAATAGATCCAACTATCGATATGATGGGCTGTCCTGATGAAACAATTCACTTATGACTGTTTTGTTCAACTCACTATAAAACAGCCAGCTAGAAATGAGATGTTAGAACAATTTCTTCAGGATGATATATTCATCATTTTCACATTGCAGGCCAGCTATCTAAATAAATGTGCTTCTTATAAATTCAATTCCTATGTCTGCTTCTTGGCTTTTGGTAGTGACAGGCAGCAGGACCTGGCATTACTGATAACATTCTGGTGACTCCATGCCCTGGTAAGTCATTCTGCTGACAGGGAATCCCGTTGGCTCCCTGAACTAGGGGGGGCTTGGGTTCTGGGCTAGCACATTCCTTAGCAGTGCTGCCAAGTGATTTCACTTAGGGACTCTCCCTATCTGGCTCCTAGGGGATACCTTTATCTTGGTTGTCACTTAATGTAGTGAGCCACTGTGCTTCCTAGTTTTTCTGGTTTCTCTAGATTTTTGTTCCTAGGCTATGGCAGATTTAGCCTCAAGCTTTTTAGGTACTCATCTTTCTGTCTGTCAGAACTGTTCTGTTTGGGAAATTTCTAGAATTGTTCTGCCTGGTATTTTTCTAGATCTGGTAATTTTCTAGAGCTGTTCTGTCTGGTATTTTTTTTTTTTTAAAGATTTATTTATTTATGCAGGCCAGATGTACGGGATTGGGGGGTTTAGGAGGGGTGAGAGGATTTACCAGAGACACAGTGGGGAACAGACCAGGCAAACTGATGGAAATACACTGCTGAGGGGAGCAGTGGGTGAGACAGGAGAGGTCTGCTGCACCATGTGGGCACCTCCCTGGCAGGGGATCGAACTCATGCTGCAGTGGCTATGGATAGCTTCATAAGTTGCGTCTTAACCCCTTGCGCCACCAGGGAGGCCTTGCCTGGTAATTTTACAGAACATTTCTGTTAAAACAAACAAACAAACAAACAAACAAACAAACAAACAAACAAACAAACTGTTAGGATGGGTGGTGTGCCCTCCATTCTGTTAACTACCCTCTGGGCGTATTTTGACAAACTGGTATAATTATGCTTATGATCCTATTGATAAGAATGATACTGTATTGCACTACTATTTGGCCTATGTATGAATTGGGTCTGGGGAAAGGTGGCCATTGAGTGGGATTCTAAATTATACTATTTTTCAGCTGGATTTATTTTGTAAAAGGACAGAAATGGGGAGAAGTTCCTATGTTAAAACTTTTAAGGCATTGCATAATCAGGATTCAGTTCTGGAAGGAGACAAACTAATGGTACAAATGGAACAGCTAGAAAGACCCTCAGGCTGCTGTGCACAGCTGGAGCCAGGAAGAGAGAGAGCAGGTGGATGCTGATGCCATCAAACTGACAGGGCTACGACTATCACCCCTTTCTTTCTGGCTGAAAAACCTACTCTCCGTGCTCTGGGTGACCATATAATACCAGGGAACATGAGGGTGAGGAAAGGTCTGGAATGGTGTCCCCCTTTCAAACCTGACAGAAAACTCATTTTGTTGGGAGTGTTGCCCAAACCCTGGTAGGGCAATTCCTGTTGAGAAAATTTGCCGTTGGAGTAGAAGAAAATGGCCAGCCATTAGGATATTATTGGGCTCAGCTCATACTATTTTCCCCCCTCAGACCTTCTAAATTGGAAACACTCTGGGATATCCTATTGAGGTGCTCCCCCACCCTCCAGGAATAGTTGGTCTGGTCACAACTATCTTTGCTACCTTCTCCTGTAATTGGGTGGATATACAGGCTCTGCTTACTATTCTCTTAACAGGAGATGGAAGGACACTGATACTGGATAAGGTTAGGAAAGAAGGTGAGAAAGTACATCAGGAAAATCCAAATGGAAATCTACTGCAGAAGGCTGCTGTCCCATACGTTGAGCCTAACTAGTACCCAAAGGAGATGGGCTATCACGTCTGGAGAGGTATCAGAAACATATCTAGAGGGCCTCAAAAAGGGGGTACTAAAACAAAAAAGCTGAAACATGGTTCAAGAAGTCCAACTGAAGCTAGTGAGGATCCATCAGCGTTTCTGGAATGGCTCTACCAAGCCTGTCAGAAACATACCGATACTGAGCCTCAGGCCCTCCATAATATCAGAATGGTAAACACGACCTACATTTCCCACAGTGGCCCTGACATACAAAATAAATAATTACAGAAGGCGGAAGGAAACCTTGGCATGAATTACTCCCAGTTGGTACGTATAGCAAAGTATCCAAAATATTGCAAAGTCACAGGGGGCCACCATCTTTCTGGAACAGGCTAAAAGGTCAGAAGCAGGGGAAAGGTAACAGCAAGGCCCTGAAGATTAACCTGTGAGTTAATCTTTTATTGCAAAGAAACTGGGCACTGGAAAGCGGAATGCCCAAAGAGAAATCAGGACTGAAAGGGAAAGAAAAAGGAGAAACTGAGAGTCATGATGACTCAAGTAGCAGGGTCCCACGAGGACAGAGGGGCCCAGAAGCTCCATAGATCAATCAACTGATCAGAGTTACCCCCCAGGAGCCTGG